GAAATGAGAAAAAAAGGTAAGAATATTGTTTCTAGTTTACAACATACTAGGCATTTAAAAAAATAGCATTGTCTAAATCTTCTTTCCAGCTAGTTGTTAAGTACTGGTTTCTAAGAGGAATCCCCATAATGGAACTGTACAATAGGCATTCAGTGAATTTCTCTTATTCCGCTAATTAAAAACGTGCCTGTGTGTTTTTGTGATGTGCAGAACCAATTAAAGCACAGTAGCTAGCCACTGCCTAAGATTAGCTAACAATTCTAGTCCGATTCCTGCCACAAGACAAAATTCCTTTATTCCTTCTGGCTACAGCGTATTACCTTAAGTGATTACAGGTGCTTCACTATTGTTTTCGGATACCAATACAGGAGGAGCCCATGAGGTCTAGAAGTCAGGGCGAGAGGCTTATCGTCACGATGTTCCTAGCTCCAGCTCTCCCGCCCACTCACTGTGCGACACCCTGAGCAAGCGACTGACCCTCCATGCGATCTGTCCTTTGGATGAGATGGTCCTGCGGTCAGTAACTCTGCTGTAGTGGCTGCTGTTGTCCAGTTCAGGCCCTGGGCTGTGTAAGGGAGGGGGTGTCCAGTCCTGGTGCTGGGGGGGGGGGCAGTGTGACCACAGGTCTTCCATGCCTCTTCAAAGCAGCAGCACCTGAGGAGCTGGGAGAAGCTATTTAATTGATCATCTTAAGTCAATATTGAGCTGATTCAGGTTGTTAAGAGATGAGTTAAAATGACACAGAGGTCCTGCTTAAAGAGAGTTGGACAATTCAAGAACAGCCCCTGCAGAGTAATTTGATTTCATAATGAGTTGTGTTATCCCCAGTTCATGTATCTCACATTTATTATTATTCCCCTTTCTTTAGTGAATTCAAATCAAATTTTCAGGGACTTCAGAAGGGGAATGACTTTTGACTACGTTATTTTGCCACTGGAGTTCTATAAATGACTTAAACCAAGTTGCTAGCAGTTTCCTGTCCTCGGCAGATTCGAAATGCCCGCTACACTACGCACACTCAACCCACAAGTACAAAAAGTCAAACAATATACCAAGGTACCATTTACCAAATGTCAGAGAAGCTCCGACGCTTGGCAGCCATGACACATCCAATCCGAAAAGCGTGGTGTGAAGTCATCTTGACTCAGGAGGCTGGCACCTGGGCCACCAATGTATTCCTCTGTAACGTGGCTGTGAGGAGATCAGGACAACCAGCATCACCTACTGTACAGACGGCTTCTGCATCTGGCAGCGACGACTGCGAAATATTTCACATCTCGGCTTGCCAGAGCCGTGCTGGGCAACACACCAAAAATTCAAACACTTCACAGGCGATCATCTGCCTTTTCTGATTCGGAGATTGAAAACGATTCTTTTTGATTTTCTGATTTCTGAGGCTTAGTTTTAGTCCGGACGGTTTGTTTTCAGCGGGGTGTTTGTTTTAGATGAAGTGCTGTTGGAGTTTGTAGCCCAGAAAGAAAGAAAGAAAGAAGGGTTCGTGTTCCGTACAAAGAGACATCAGGACTCCAGCCCCGGTCTTGAGCAGCCCCAAGTCCTGTAGCGACTATTGGCGGCCTTGAAAAGAGCAGTTTGTAATCAGAGTGGAAGAATTTAACTACAATCAGCTAAAAAAAAAAGATCATTTTTAAATGATTTAATTTAGAGATCATTTGGAACACAAAAAACCTGAAGACTGCCTTGAAAGAACCCAAATTCTCTAATCGAACCAAATGCTTAAAGTAACTTCCACGGTCTCTGTCTTGAAAAAACAAATTATTCTGGGGGACCCATCTGGAAAAACTGGAGTGGGGATCTCCAGGAATAAGGTTGGAGACCTTAAGGGTGCTTCAGGACCAGTATTAAGATTCATGGTCATGGCAATACTGCCCAGTCACAGCCACTCGCTTAGCTGCTGAGGTCTAACAAGCCCAGTCTACAAGGTGATAATTCGGCTTTCATGTTTTATGAGGCTCTTATCAGTATAGTCCCACTTCACCATACCTTAACATACCTACTCATGCTTTAATTATGCTCTCCCTGAGCTTTACTGCACTTACGTGGGATTTTATTTTAGCCCACAGGCATCCCAAAATAAAATATCTCCCAAAACATAGGTGCTGTAAAAAGGCAGATTACTGTGTATTCACGGTATGAGGATTCAGCAGAAATGCCTAGGCCTGACTCTTGTCGGGAAAATCGTTTAAATTATTCCGCTCGGGAAAGGCTCGGGAATGCAACTGCAGATCATTTCTTTTTTTTTTTGTTCAAGTCGACCCATCTCATAGTTTTAAACCGTTTGCACCCTCCCGGCCCCTCCCTCTTCTCTGCTGTGCCGAGAGAGAGTGGCAGTGCTAGTGTGCGCGAGAGAGAGCTGGGCCACATAGAGGGGGCATTCATCTCCACGGCCCCCCTGACTGAAAGGGCGCACTCTGAGGGACCGCTGTGTTCGTTTATGGAAGGAAACGTCCACTTAAGCGGGGAAGCTTGAGGTTTCCCACCAAACCTTTGATTCCAATATTTCACTCTTAACCCCCTGACGCCAAGGTCACCACACTACAGCCAGACTCGGGCAGTTTGCATAAATAGGTAAATACGAGGAGATGAGGACCGGAACGCTCGGAAGAACGCGCAGGGATCACACGTTTGTGTTCCAAACACTCAGTGCCGCTTTTCCCTTTTCTCCTTGTGGAGTGGTTTCTTTGTCATTCTCCAGGAAGCAGGGATGCTGATGAAATGGTATGGGAGCTATGCGGGCAGTGCCTTCCTGGCCACAGACCAGCTAGGTAGTCTCGCTGCTGCCCCATCCAGCAGGTAATGGGAACACGGACAGCCCGATTCTGCTAGGGCAGCAGACTTCAGCCGCGTCCTTCACAACTTCCAGAAGAAACTGCGCTTTGTTCCAAACATCACAGGGGTCCATTGTAGAGCAGAATGCCAAAGGCCATGTATTCAAAATTGAGTCACAATTCCACAAGGTCGGCGTCCGTTCAGAAAGTTCACCACAGAATATCCACATAACAAATTTTGCATTGAGCTCTGTGGTTTGACTAGGATGACACCATACCATGCTTTTTCCCCCTCATGTTGGTTGCTCATTTTAAACACACCACGTCTGCGGGCGTCTTATCTTTGACCTTAATTGCAGTGTACTGTGCCACAACCTGTGCTACTCTGCTTGTACCACAAAGCCCCAACAGTGAACATCTTAAGCTGAAAGGTGGGGAAACGTTTATTAGACGCTATGCAAAATCTTCAGATACAATCAGTCTATTGTATCTGGCTCTCAGTCTATCATCTGTGACTGAATCCAGTGCTGTTAAAAATCCACTCCTTGTTTTCCTCTCCCTACCTCTCAGCTGGTCAATGCACTGAACTAGAATCAACCACTGACCTAATTACCGAAGCTGGTTGTCGTATTCGAGGGGGGCAACAGATTTTCATTCGATTAAAAAAAGCACAGGAACGTTCTTCACACCCGTGAGCAGTGTGCAAAATGATTCATTTGTCTTGCATATACCGACACTGATACAGTATTTGCCATGGAAAGATGCTTCAGGGATTGTGTCTAGAGTTATTTTGCTGAAGGGCTCTGCAGGATCCCTTTAGCAGGCCTCTGAAGCTGAGCGAACATGTTGATACTAGCCAAAACTCCAGCATCTGCCTTGTGAATAGAAACTCCACAGTCCAGGCCCCACCCCACGCACCCTGTCTTCCAGTGAGCCTGAGGCTCGGAGTTCCAACCTCTCTTTCCCTTTAACACTGATCACCCAGAACCACAGCAGCCCGAAGAACAGGCCAGCTCTCTTCCGTGCTGCAGAAATAAAGCTGGATTTTATACAATTGCAGAAAAACACAACAAACCATAGAGCAGGAGGCTCTGATTTCCCAAAGTTCACAACTGCCCGAGGCCGTGCGAGGGTGAAACGATGGGTTAAAATCACATCACTGAGCTCTCCAAAGGCCTGCTCAGAATCTGGACTTAAATCAGACCCAAAAGGCACCGGAGACAGAAAGTATCGCCCCAAACCCAGTGAAAAAAAAAAAGAAAAGTACACATGCTCCATTAAACGAAATGAACACAAATAACTTTCCATCAAAACGGTTCCAAATCCGAAATAAGAATCTTGTGAATACATTCCAAACTAAACATCTGGGAAACAATTAGTTGTGTCATTATCACTCCAGTAGTAATCGGAGAAGGAAGCGAACTATTTTGAATTAGCCCTGTCTGAAGAGTTTTCTCTCTGAAGGGAGGGTTAGTTATAAATCATCCCAGATACCACAGCTCTAACGATAGTCGTTCTCAAGTGGCAAAAGACCGATGTTTTTGACAAGAGAATGCTTTCCTGAGTGTGAAAGAGATCACCGGGTATTCTCTTATACAAATAGCCATAGGCAGAGACTTAAAAGATAGCCTTTGAAAGACGTCTTCTTTCATTCCTCAGAGCATTTTTAATGGAATCCAAAACGTGTGTTAATTTTCCTGGCTGTCCAGGCTGATCTTGACCTGATTTCACCTGTTCAGAGATGCACCTTCTCAGATCTGCCCAGCCCCCTTGTGGGGGAGTGTGCATCTGTCCTGAAGAATGAACACTCAGCCACACCCTGCGGACCCACAGTGGGCCCGAGTTAAAAAGGACACCTTTAACCCATGCGTACCAGTAAAACAGACTCCACTGCACCCAATGCCCACCTCCAATTGTTCATCTGTCCTTTTTATATAATACACAACTGTGTACAACTGGTCTTTACCTAATTTCATACTCGCAACACATGCAAAGTAATCATGGCTGGGGTTAAATCACAACTCGCATCCATCTTTCAGGTACAAACCTCAAACCCAGCATTGATGGCAGCTTGCTTTCTCCTATCTGAACATTATTACCCAGACCAGTGCTGCATTTTCTTATTGGCAGGTTCCTAATATCTTTTAAGCAGGCATGAAGTAGCAGATATTGCTGCTTTAGCCAACCTGGACATAAAGTGCTTCATTACCGAGCTTTCATGAACAGACTGTTTAATTGAATTACTTCTTATATCAGCATATCAATGATACTGGTTCGCTGGCTGTTGCATTGTTAGTACCTAATGCACAGTTCTTCCAGGAACAAGTCAAAGAAAACTAATTAACAGAAAACAAAAGAGAGAAGCAGGGATTGAGTGATCACTTGTTCATTGGGCTAAAAAGGTCTGTTGATGCTACTTACTTAAAAATGACTACATGTATATATTATTATACAAAGAGCAAAATAAGAAAACAAAAGATTACTTAGAAGTATCAACACAGAAGACAAAAAGACTTTCTGTATATAACTGATCATTTTTATGGAAGTTTACATTTCCTTACTGCATGTATAGCTTTAATAATGTGCTGCTGTAGTGTATTTTTATACCTTAATTGTGTATGTATCTTAAATTCAGTGACAGTTGCTTCAACCCATGCTCTGCATTGCTGTTCATGTCAGAGCAGATCAATTATTACTAAACAATTATTTTGTGCCTTTCGGGTCGGGTGCTTGGTTTCGTCTTTGTCTCTGAGAACGTGTGGTGACCGATCTTTCCCTGCCCCGAGGAAATGGAGCGCTTTTCCAAAAGTATTTTTCGCCATCTCCCAGTTTGTCCAATTTTTTTTTCCTGGAGTGAACACAGCATCCCTCTCAACCAAAAGGAGGAAAATCAGTTGTGAACTTATAGGGGTGATAAATGTTCTAAATTCAGACACTTCTCGTCCCTCGGTTTCAATTATTCATGGCTGTTCTCCGCACGGGCGTAGTGCTCTCTTTGTCCAGCAGAGGGCGCACTGCAGTCAGGATCGTTTTCGGGCTTTCTCCCACTTGAGCCTTTTCTTGAGAACCAGGAGGTCGATGTAGATAATTTGATTGAGGACCGTAGAGGCGCACAGCAGACCCCCGTGCAGTGCCCCTGCAATCCCATTACAGAACACATCCTGGCCTGAAAAATGCACAGACAGAATTTAAGAGCCCGAAGACTACCACTGCAAAACATGACATTCCATCGATTGGTAAAACAGGGATTTTTCTGCAGGATCTTGGTATGTTGTACTGCAGGTGAACATGAACATGTAGAGCACGTACATGTTTGTGGATGTTGCTCTTGTGCTTTCATGCATACATAAGTGTGTGATTGTACATTTCTAGTGCAGCTTTCATTTCTCTTAAGAGTTTGTTAAATTTCTACAGCGCACCACAATTGCAATGCCTGGCCAGCGGAGAACTTCATCGCACGGTACTGCATTGGCATATACAGTGACTACCTGCAATGTTACAGAAAGTTACTTCTCAGAAGTAATCAATTACAGTTACAAGTTATTTGGGTAAGAGATTGCTTTTTTCAATTAAGTCATTATGGGTAATTTCTATTTTATCTACGTGACTATGCACACACTACATAGATCACTGTAATTGATTACTTTTTTAAATTAACAGGATGGGGGAAATAACTTTGTAAAATAATGTCTCGTTTAACTATCTTGTAACTCTTACAGATTTATTTTTAAAGACAGCTTTCCTCCATGCTGTCTACCAGCGTCTTATTTTCCTTGCCCCCCTTCACTATAAGACCTCTCTTTTATGAATCGATGCTAAATTCAATTTTAGTTCCCTGTCTGTTCAGAATTTTGTGGCTCTCTTACACTGGCAGGCCGTAAAAACTTAACTTTTCATCTGTTCTACTGTGAAAGCTTCTCAGTGGGTGAGAAACTGGGAATTGAAGAAATGTGATTGCAGATTGATTTACCTCACCCCAGAGGCAAAATGAACGCTGTTCTCAATTTTTTTAAAAAAAATATTGCTTTAAACTTGCTTTAAAACACGCCAAGCCAATACCATGATGACTCTTACCAGTAATGTAGAGATTCCTGACCGGTGTCTCTGACCGGATTCTGGCCACCACCTCTGGGGTGAACCTGGCCAGATCCTGCTCGGCGCCGTACATCTCCCCACGAGGGGAACCCAGGTAGTGCATGTTGGAGAGGGGGGTGGCTGCCTCCATGAACACCACCTGCACAGGCACAGGCAGGGGGCTGAGAGTGGGAGACGCCATCCCACAATGCCGAGCGTGTTATTTCAAGACCAGTGCTATCAGAGGTAGAGCAGCAGGAGAAGAAGAGCTGTGTGTGGTAGCCAAAGTTCTCCATCAGTCTTCTACCGGACACTCAAGCGGTTAAATAATAAAGATGGCTGTCCCTTCTAGTCTGGTTTCCCTACACAGATGTTTGTCCTGCACAGCACTGCCGGATTTCCCATGAGGCACTGTAGGCACAGAGCCTAGGGCCTACGAAATGTTTAGGGCCTACACACTAGTGACTAACGAAAAACGAGCTGAAACAACATTCTTGCGATCAATTCTAGGTGCTCGAGATCAATAATCACGCGCTCTCTAGCAGCTGTTTGAGAAACTAGAAGTATGGAAGTGAGGGTCACTCGGCTTGCTCCATCAATCACGTGGTTTAAGCATTAGAAGAGTTGGAAGTGCATCATGTCAATCGATGTCATTCAATTGGCGTTGACCCCTCTTCTTGCACATTTTGGACTGAAAGTGCCGAGGGCCCATGAGCACCAGAATCCTGCCCTGCTGCACAGTGTCCTGATCTGCTCCTGGAGGGCTGTTGTCTGCAGGTATTTGGTTTTTTAGGTCTCTGCCAAACACCAGCACCTGAAGAGCTAGAAGAAGGTGTTGAACTAGTCCCATGAACCCCCAAGCTCATTTAGGCTGTTAGGAACTTAGCTGGGAATGTAAACCTGCAGACACACTGAACCCCTAGGATCTAGATTGCCCATCATTGCTCTGGCACTCCAGACGATCCTTATCCGAGCAGCTATTGCCTCCCTGTTTTCTCTGATGCCTTTTCATTCAGTGCCTGTGCCCTCCCAGTGCCCTGTACACACACCTGTCCTGCTACTACAGACAAGTGGGGGCACCAGTCCAGTACCTGTCGGCCCCCCTTCCCAGCATACCTTGTCTCTGAGCTGAGGGAAAATTTCGAGGGCCCAGCCCAGGAGTGCATTGGCGATGCCCATCTTGAGGCTCTCGTAGTCTGGTCCCCTCTTCTTCACAGTGGTGTCCTTCCACTCCTCGAACCACTCGTACTTCGCCATGGTCAGCAGGGTCATGCAGGACTTCCCTGTGGTCAGAGTGCACAGGTGACTGTTACAGTGAGGCTCAACACTGCACAGATATTAAACAGCTGGAAATTGCACACAGCAACGTCATATCTTTCGATTTACAAAGTGCCATTCCAAATCCAAGGCCGCTGGACATAGGGATGAAAGAAAAAGACAAAAAGCACAGAAAATTAAAGAAGGGCATACAGGTTTAGAAATTGAGAATGTAGGGCAATCACACACAGGGCCAGTTGAAAAGATGAGTTCTGAGTTTGGATTTGAAGAGAACTTGTCTCTCGGAGAGTCTGAGGAAGGGCACTGCATAACAGAGGAGCAGCAACAGAAAAGTTGGAGATTTAGTCCTGGGACCAGCCTCACCCTCCGAGAGGGAGGACCACACCACCTGCTCCACCGCTCTGAAGATCAGGACGGAGTATATATTCAGCCATGTTTCAGAAATGTCTGCAACCTTCAGTTGAGGCCGAGGGAACCAGGCTTTGTGGATTTGAAATGCATTTTTTATCCTGTTCTGCAAGTGGTGAATAGGATTGTTCTGGCCACCAAAGGTGATGGGAGTCTCTCTTTCACTGGGGGGCTTATGACTATCTAGTGTATATAAAAATCTAATTAGGAAAATCGTCTATTTAGGTTTCAGCAGTTTGGTTGGTGTTCTGTGGCAGAACCAGGATCTGAAGTACCGGCAATAATCTCTTTATTAAGAACTGTACTGCCTGGTGGTACCTGGGTGTCTGATCTTGGCCGTCGGGTCTTTAGCCGAGGGAAAAGTGATGAACATCATGGGGATGTTGTCAGCCACCTCCTCCCTGCTCAGAGAGGCAAAGTAGTCCATCCTGGAGATACAAGCACAACAACAGCTTGACAATCAAAACCAGTTATAAGTGACACAACAGCACAAGACTGCAGGGTTGTAGGACAGAATTAGTTTCATACTGGGAAATTGTATTCATTTTGTTATGTATATTGTCCCTGCTACTGCTAGTGAGTTTCTGTTTCTCGATTGAAAACTAAGCCATCAGCGACATCTAAAGTCTGTGAAATGTAATTACAGGTACACCAAGGTCTTTCCATCCTCTGTGAAAAATATGTATGTGTGTCAAGTATGTGTATAAATACCGTTAGAATTGCCTTCATGTGCTGGCATAGTGTTGATGAAAACTCAGGCTGCATCTAAGGAAGGACTTGGTTCTTTAAGATCAATTGGCAGCAAGTGATTGGACAACTCGAAGTTTGTTTCTGCTCACTTGATTTAATGCAGAGGCGATAACACCAGTGCCTTAATTCCACTGGCCAACAGATATGATGTAGAAGGAAGTCTAGGGTTGCTTCTACATACAATACATGTGAATGAACATCTTAGTTTCCCAGTACACAGATACTTACGAGCCATCCATGTCATTGTTTTTAAAAAGCCAGAAATTGGTGGACACGATGCTCAGCTCCTCCTGGGTACCATCCAGGCCCACAAAGACCAAGAAGGAGCCCATGCTGTGCCTAACCATGCTGAGTCGAGAGCGAATCTCTGTAAACAGAAAACAGAATCTTTGCTCTTTGTTTTACGAAGACAGACAGGAATTCTGATTCACAATCCTGAAAAACAATTGCAGGTAGAAATGCAAAATGACAGCTAACAGTATAATCCATATAATGTGTTGGGGTTAATGAAATCTTAAGTTTAGCATAGAAGCTTTTGAAAGTTCATGCCCTGAAAATGTGCCTACAACCTTCAAGAAAGGGACGTCCCCAAAAGCTACACTTACCGGGTTTAGCCTGTATCTCCGGGGGCAGGAACTTCTCGAAGGTGTTGAACATCCCAGCGTCAGAGATAACCACTGGGGCCAGGACTTTGACTTCTTCCTGACCTTTCTTCACAGTCACTCCTGACCAAGGGAAGGTACAAGGTGAGAGGACCTCCTGAGGTATGGCTCCTGGGGGCTATCAACAGAAACATCCTCAAAGGGACAATAGGAGGGCCCTGGACTTGACTTCTTCTCCAACAGCCTTTTCATTTTGCAGGTGGTACAATTGTGTGCTTAAGAATTCCAGTGCAAAGTTGGAAGGTCACGTTGTCACATGACCGGGATTGTGTTGGGTGGGAGGGGAACTTGTTATCCATACAGCTTCACTGATTAGTACAACATCAGAAAACAGGGGAAACCATCACACCATCAAGTGAAATACTGAGGCTAAATCTGTCACTAGGATTATTCGAAACAGCGCTGACAGAAATCAAAGACCTGAAACAGAAAGACCAGACCAGTGCGTCATTCTTAACCTGGTAGCAGCACTGAGTATTCATGAAACTCACCATATGCCGCGCCCTCCTGGTTCACAAGTATGCGCTGGACAGGGGCTCTGACCAGCACAGCGCCCCCTGCCTTCTGGATGACTGGGATGATGTGGAAGGGGATCTCGCTGGCCCCTCCTCTGGGGTAGTAAGCGCCTCTCTTGTAATGCTGGAGCAGCAGGGTGTTAATGGTACAGCTGGAATCTTTAGGAGGCACACCTGGAGCAGAAATTCAAGTGGACTGTCGTAACAGCGCAAACTCAAGACAGGCACACCGAGCAAGCTGAAAACTCGGAAGAGTGAAATCTCACCTAGCTTTGTGCCTAGCTTTCCATTCTCACACTAAACATTCAACACCAATTAGAGGTTAGTATGAGATCTGAGGCCATGCCAACAGCACTGCTCACCATAGAAGAAGTAGGAGAAGATGACGTGGAGGTCTTTGTTGCTGGTCAGCGTGTTGAGGACCTCTGTGTGGCTGGTGGCTGACATTCGGAAGATGGAAGAGAAGCAGTGGACGAGTCGAGTCTTGATCAGGAAGAGAGCCAGCCATAGTGGCACCAGCTTGAGAGAGGCCAGGTAGTGAGTCTTCCTAGCCGCTATCTGGAGCAGAGGTGACAGAGGTCAAGTCAACAGTGTTCTCTATAACAGCCAAGTTTGGTCTTGTTGTGTCATTTCTTAACGAAGGTGCCACATCATCCCTCATAAGTCATTTTCTTAATGTATTCCTGCTTTGGCATCTGACCTGTCCCATTGCAAACTGGATAGATGGAAGTAGAAGGCAGAACTCATTGGCATGGCATAAGGAAATGAAACCATATTTTCTGGGAGACCTATTTATGCCAACATTAATTATATATTACTGATAGATTAGGGATCTGTAGCTCAAATCTTTCAGAGCTAGTTTGCTCCCTGGCACACTATATGTTAACAGCCCTAAAAGTTGCTTAAAATGTGCCTACTATATCTCTCCATCTCTACAGTTACTACAGTAACTACAGTTACCGTCTCCATCCTGCTGGGTGTGAGTGACCTCACTTTTACAAAAAATGGCTAGCACTCTCTACTACATCAACTATTCATGAAATGCTCATGAAACCATGTGAATTCCCAAACTAAGCCTCTGACTAGTAGCACCCATGTTCCATTCACTCCACCATACTCACAGAGACCTCTCTGTTATCCTATAATGTTTTGCTGGTCTTGGGGCTCTTGTACCTTCATGAGCCTCATGAACTCATCCACGGCCTCCGTGTCGTGGGGAAACTGTCTTCGGAGAGACTCCGCCATCTCGGTCTTGCCGCTGTGAATGTGGTAGTGCCGGCGAGCCTCCTTCTCCCCGATGATGACGGTGTCGAAGTGCTGCTCCAGCTGGGCGAACTGCAGCTGCCCCTCGGTGATCTGGTCCACGGCGACGCGCAGCAGGCTGTTCTCGTGAAGCTGCCCCAGGTAGTGGAGCCCTGCAGGGACACACAGAGCGAGAGGTCAGCCAGTCCCTTTCTCAACAGGCTGTTCTCGTGAAGCTGCCCCAGGTAGTGGATCCCTGCAGGGACACACAGAGCGAGAGGTCAGCCAGTCCCTTACTCAACAGGCTGTTCTCGTGAAGCTGCCCCAGGTAGTGGAGCCCTGCAGGGACACACAGAGCGAGAGGTCTGGCTTCCCAACTGCCAATCATCCAGCCATTGGTCCTCTTAAAAAAAATCTCTCCATTGAGCCGAATATCCCCAAGATCTAAAACATACAGAATTTTCTTTATTACAAATACAAAAATTTGTATATGCTCATAATTGGGAATTGTCAGCTGTCAATCAAACCAGTTCACCTCCATGATCTTCAGAAGAGCACGGGGGTGAGCGCGAGGATTGTGCACGAGTGCACATGTCCAGAAACGTGCTCTATCACACTGCAGATACCCCAGAGCTTAACCCTAGCACTGATGGGAAGAGTTAAATTAGCTCTCACCCTAGACATGTTCAACAGCATCCCGAGAGCACTGGGGTAGCTGCTGCACAGCAAACAAAGGGCATTTGAAGCCAGACAGCCCCAGTGCTACAGAATCAGGAAACCTGGTTCCTGGTTAATGGAACAACAGAGATTGGAACTGGAGATGTCCGGACTGCAAAGCTTAGTCTGTGCTTTCCATGAGCACCTTTACTGATTCAGCCACACAGGACCCCATGAGAAGTTATGTTCATCTCTTCTGTGTATTACAATGTGACCTTCCTTTGTCACATCTGCCAATATGATTTAAAAAAGAAAAACCAGTAAACTCAGCATGTTCAAATAGCAAATACTGTAGTACTAAGTCAACAGTTGTCACTGGGTTTAGATTTTAAAAACCTCTTGGAAATCCGGTTTCCAAGCTTACCGACGTCAAACTCGAAGCCCTTCTCCATGTAGGTGTGGCAGCAGCCCCCAGCCTGGTCGTGCTGCTCCAGGACCAGAACCCGTTTGCCCGCCTTCGCCAGGACAGCCGCCGCCGTCAGCCCTCCGATACCGCTGCCGATCACTACGGCGTCGAGCTCCGCCGGCACCCGATCTGCGCTGAACCCTGGAATCACACCGACAGCAGTGATCGGTCTTCATTCTCCGACCTTGTTCGTTTTAAAATCAATTCCTTGCGCTTATGTAGTGCTTTCCTGGACACTCCACTCAAAGCGCTCTACAGGTAATGAGGACTCCCCTCCACCACCACCAGTGGCCCCACCTGGATGATGCGATGGCATCCATAGTGCACCAGTACTCTCCCCACACATCAGCTCTCAGTGGGGAGGAGAGCAGAGTGATGAAGCCAGTTCAGAGATGGGGATTATTAAGAGGCCATGATTGGTAAAGGCCCGGGGGGGAAATTTGGCCAGGACACCAGGGTAACACCCCTACTCTTTTTGAGAAACACCCTGGGATTTTTAATGATCGCAGAGAGTCAGGACCTCGGTTTTACGTCTCATCTGAAGGACTGCACCTCTTTACAGTCTAGTGTCCCCATCACTGTACTGGGGCATTAGGACCCACACAAACCGCAGGGTGAGCGCCCCCTGCTGGCCCCACTAACAGCTCTTCTAGCAGCAACCTTAGTTTTTCCCAGGAGGTCTCCCATCCAGGTACTGGCCAGGCTCACACCTGCTGAGCTCCAGTGGAGCTGCCAGTTGTGAGTTGCGGAGTGATATAGGTGCAGGCTAAACCACAATCTTTTAAATCAGAACAGCACATTATTAAACTTACTTAATTAAATGTGCCTGGCGTCTCACAGGTATGTGAATGGCCCACATTGGGGAGGAGTCAGTCAATGTACACAATTCTCCTCCTGTTTTTCCTAAATCAAATTGAGATTAACTTTGAGAAAAGTCTGGGCTGGTTGGGATGGCAGTGGAGGCCGGGTGCTGTCTTGTATTTGCCATCTTAAAAAATGATATATTCTGAGCTGGACAGAATAGGCACAGACTGCAGTAAAGGTGGTTAATATTGACTTAATATTAACTTAGACTGAAGTTGTGAGTTGCCGGAATTGACTCCATAAAATTATTCTTTGAGTAGGACTACAGGTATATTCTGAGGAAGAAGAGAATATTAATTTTACAGACAATTAATTTTGGCGAACATAGATAATCATTTTATTAAAGCTGGTTTATCACAGGAATCAGATTACACTGAAGTGGAAAACCTTGGGCCTCCGTTACTGCTGCTGAGTCCTTTAATTATACACAGCCGTAAAGACTGTTCAATTTGTTTATGGCTATCATATCAGTTTTGTGCATAATCTAATTAAGATAGCCAAGGACCTTGATAAACTGAAGGGCATTCTACAGGCAGAAGAATTTATTGGTGAGTTATTGGTACTGTAAAGCTCTTTCCTGACTCCTTGAACATGTTCTCATTCCCAATGTTGCAGAGGAACATCTGAACGGCCACATACGGTATAGTGGCAAATAAAAGCATTTAAAATAAAATCAAGGTCCCGCCACATCTATTTCCATAAGAAGACAACTAAAACCATCTTCTCCTTCTGGCTGTGTCTGCGTTACTGGATACCATTCTGGTTCTCTCTCCTCCTTTTCTCTCACCCCCTCTGAATGACGCTTCAATTCCATGATTGTGTGTTTCCTAGACTTAAGGCACCCACGCCTTTAGGGATATTGTTTCCCTGCTGTCCAGTCTTTTTGTTTGCAGGTTGGTGGCAGGTAACATGAAGACTGGTAGAGTCTGGTACTGAATTATTTTAACCTAGGATACACACAAGATACATTAGAAGGCTAGTCCTGCAATCACAGTGGTGCATTAAAGGTGGTGGTTAAACTACAAACTTCCAAACTAGAACAGCATATCAGACTTACTAAATCAAATGTCCCTGGCTTCCCACAGTCCTGACATTGTGACTAAAGAAGTGTTGTGTTATAGGGGACAAATAAGCTATCCAGGCCCAGAGATCTGCGTGAAAAGAGAATTACTGTTCCTATTAGGAAGAGGTGCTCACCTCCTCCACTAAACTAAACGTTTGCATAATGTTTCTGAGAATAACTATTGCACATGCAAATTATACACGCGCAGATGCATGTTATCAAAGCTTACGCTGCAAATTAAGAGTCACATAACAAAATGTAGATCATTTTTTTTACTGAGAAAATACTCTGATTCATGAGAAAGACACAATCTGCCATTATTCAGTCTTGTTTGCACAGTCTTGAACTGTCTGTGCAAGCCATGGACTGCATCTAAACACAGTACCTAGTTCCTCATTGACTAACTGAGCGGGCTGTTAACTCACCTTGCTTGAGGACCTTGTCTCTCTGCTTCTGGTCGGTCACCAGCGGGGCCGGCGGCCTCACAGCGTCCCGGGAGAACGGGCTGGCGCTGTTGGCGAACAGGCGGGAATAAAGGGCGAATCCGAGGATCAGGAACCCGGCAGCAAACAGCAGGAGCCACATCTTCAGACAGCAACCTATCCCCACGGCAGTCTGCGGAGTCAGAGGCACAGGGAGGGATAGCAAGGCAGGTGGAAGAAATGCTTGGCCCTTTTATGAAGTGCAGAGCCAAAGAGACAGAGGGAGGAGTGTCTTACATACTGTACTTATTGAAATCTATGTGCCTAGAGCAATAACAACAGATAAGACACCATTGATCCCCCCTCCAATGGGTTCAATCTTTTTCTTATTTGTTTTGTGCTGGTGGAAAGTTGTTTGGACCTTTAGCCTTTAGCTAATCTTCAGCCTGTATCCTAACCAGCTCAAGGGACATGAGGTACAGCAGTCTCAAATCCCACTGCCCTCCCTCAGCTAACTATTATTTCTATCTATTTCTAGATGATTGCACATGTTTTTGCACAGAAGCTTTTGACCCGACTTAATGTAGGAAAGGTCTTCTTTGGTTTGAGAAGGTGACAAGTTCGGTTTCATGACCAAACAAAAACTTCGTCTCACCAAGCTCTGTGCTCCACTCATGCTTTTCCACTCCCACTCCACGCTCAACCACCCCACCCCAATCCATCTCAAAAAAAGGGTTGCTGACAACCTTTCAGAGATCCAGAGAACAAAGAGTAAAATCTATTTTGGGATGTGGATAAGTGGACCACAACCTTTATTTGTAGGAACAGGTATATCTTTAAAGTGAAGCCTTGTTCTAAATGATAATGGACTCACAGGGCTCCATTTCTGCCCACTTTTGGCTTTTAACCTTCAACACAGAACCGAGCTGTCTGAAGAACATAGGACAGACGACTGCCCCAGGGTGTTCTGTGGTTCTGACAACGCAAAGACCACACTGTCACCTTGAACAGACCGCCACCTCTGTCTCATCCTTCCCACAGTCACGGTTTGATCCTCTCCACCCTGGGCCCATGAAAGATGTCTTCCGAAGTCAAAGGTTTGCGGCTGATCACACAGTCCAAGTTCTAAGCTTTTAATTGCAGGATCAATTTTCACATCAGAGATGGTAAGCAGAGATGTGATACGGTTCAGCACATAACATCTGGTCACTTTATATTTATTGAGTGGCTCTCTTTACTGAAAGATCCTGGTATTAAAGCTCTTTCACCTGAAGCATCTTGCAAGTTCTTGATACAGCATGTCTGACCTCTGACCATATTGGTTGTCACCTATACTAAGATTGAAGTCAGCATTTGCTCAATTAAAATCTGAATAACAACGTCTTATATAAACTTTGAATAACACATTCCCTTTATTCAGGCTAACACAACACCAGTTGTTTTTCCCCAAGGGAGAGATTGGGAAGAGAATAGGAAAAGAGGATGAACTGAGGGCTTGAAGACAGGCTCACTGAACAGAAAACTTACCTTCCTTCATTCTCGAGTTGAAAGAATAAGTGGCTATTAAGCAATAAAAAAAGAGGATTCAAATTTATGCGACATAATGGTACCATTATCAGCTTAAGCAATTAAGATATGGAGAGTTGTGCAACATTCTTGCTGGGTCAGTGAACTGCAGAGTCTACTCAGGCTATCAGATGTGTTTTTCTTCAAATGGGTTTTCTCACTTGGCATTAAGGATATTTTCCCAATATTGGATAATGACGTAACCCGTACACATGGTATATCAAACTATGCTGAAGGTGTATGATTATCTATATATTTCCAGTAATGTTTATCTTATTCAATTTTTGTTTTCCGGAGTGCATAATTTACAGATTGTTTTCACAGAAGCCCACTTCTCTAATTAATTTACAACAGAGAGTAGGCTATCTACACACAATATAAGCATAAGGACAACTGAATTTTGTTTGCAGATTCATAGTGTTGGTGACAGAGCAAATTGTATATATATTTCAAAGGCAAATTCTATATATACAAATGTGTCCGTCGAACTATGAATTCAATTGCAATCAATCTTAATGTTCACCCACTTAAATAAGAGTTCACACTTAAATTAGAGAATTATTTTGGATAAAAACATGCTTTTCAAGGGGGGTGTTTACAATGCATTTATGACTCTTTCCCCATCTTCTGTTCCATAAATACATATAGTTATGTGCTGAAAATGTATGCCAGGTCTGAATGTGAACTTTAGACTTAAATAAATGCTCAACAGTCTTTGAGCTCAACAGACTTTGAATTGCAGCTTAACCTTCCTAGTCATAAACCTTAAGGTGCAGGCTTAGTTTAAAGAAAGGAGATAAGCAACTGGTTCAGAAATGAAAAGACAACACAGTACTCTTAAGGAGATGTTCTGCTACTTCTCCTTTCTAATGACAGAATGGCACATGCGATGGAGATTAACTATTATGAGTGAGGTACCCCGAGCTTTCACATCCTGTTACAAAACCGCAGTGTACCAGCAGGAAGCACCCTGTTGTCTTTTAGAGTGAAGCTTCACCCTTCCATGGGAAGCCAGCTCATTTCCTCACCAATAAAGGTGCTGAGAAGGTACAGGCAGTATGTGCTTTCCTCCCCATGTACACTTGAAGTTTCAGAGGAGATTCCTGAGAGAACGTTTTGCAATCAGGCTTGAATGACTGAACCATGGACATAGTGTCAAGGTCGTAGTTCTGGTTCTATTGCATAGTTAAATGCAGGTGACCCGTGCCCAGCGCAGTGGTGAATGTCTCATTGATAGGCCCCAGTCTTTCCACTCAAAGCCTCAGTTAAAGTCAGTCGTCCTTGGTGTCCCACATGGTTTTGTTCTTGGTCCCATTTGTTTAAGCATCTATAGATCACCATGGAGTCTGATCCTTTTTTTGCAGGTATGGCATCAGCTTTCATTTCTGTAATGAAGACATCCAAACATTTGCTTGCATGACACCTCACAATAACCAACCCCTGTCTGCCTAATCACAGATATTACGTACTAAAGAATGATCGTGAAATTTCTGCTTCCCCTTTTGAACTCTAGCATAACCACCATTATGGAATTGGCTTGCTTTGTGAACTTAATAAACACCCGAAATTTAGCTTGCCTATTGGTGGTTGGGGGAAATCAATCAATCAAAATGTTCAGGTGGGGCTCCTCAGCATCATAGTTGATTCAAATCCTGCATCTGAAGCTTTTGTTCACTTCTATAACACTGCTTGCAGCCATGCAGGTCTCTCCCCATCTGATGCACAGGAGCCGGTATGTGCTTGTCTGGTGTATCCAGACCTGCTCTTCACAAGCTGGAATATATTCAGAGCACAGCTGCTTGAGTCTTAACTGAATCTAAACCAGGAGAAATATGATCATACATTCATTTTGGTAGGATCCCTGTGGATTTTCACTAGGAATAACAGGAATGAAGTGTATTGTATGTTGTGCGTTGTATCTACTGGCCACTGGCCAGAGCACAGGGTGGCTGGAACCCCCAGGAGGAGATAGGAGGGAGGCAAGAGACATGTGAGGGAGAGAAGAGGGATCACATACGGGTAACTGGAACGTTTTAGGAGAGGAAATGACGTCAAGAGCAGTTGAGGTGGGAGCTCCATATTGGTGGTGGTGGAGGGGAGTCTCCATTACCCAGGAAGCGCTTGGAGTTCAGTATCCAGAAAAGTGCTATAGAAGTGTAAAGTTTATTATAAATTATTGACTGCTGAGGCTGATTGAACTGATGTCATCCCTCATGAGCTCTCGTTATACACTCCATTTAGTAAAATCTGCTCACCTTTAAGGACTTGAATGTTCCTGATTACCTATTATCTCCCTGCATGTTGTTTGTGCTCTTTGGACTCTTGGACCTTGTTTCTGCTCTCAAAACAAAACTCCGAACCTCCCCTTTTCGACCCAGTGTTGTGCTCCAGTGCTCATATCAGATCTGGCAAAGTCAGTCAACACTTTCACATCCCATCCTAACACTCGCTGCGATGCACTACTCATCGCACTCTTTTCTGTAGGAATCTGTTTTAGATTCATTTTATTGCACGTCTTGTGATCCAGTGCCCTAAAAAGGAGCTATACAAAATATAGCTGTACGTCTCATTGTCTGCTATTATAAATCATTACAAAGGAGTGTTTCTCAAATAGATGAGCGAAACTGACTTCCACTGCTATGCTTCTCCAGAGGTGCACAGGGCCCTTTAAAACAAGAGTTACCTTAGTGTCTCCTCCACAATTTACTTTGTTTCTTAATCCCCCCGCCCCCCCACACACACACCAAAACAAAAATCACAAGCATCATATGATCCTGCTGAACTCGTCGCTCTCAGAAAAAAAGCAACTCAAGCAGTCCAACACTGATATCTAGCGCCCAACCCTCACAGCACAGGGAAAGCGTGAAGACGGTACTCAAGAGCTCTTGTATAGTTTAACACCTCTCTCCTTTTAAGAGCAGAGCAGAAACCCTCATGTTTTATGGTGTATTGTGGAACTGAACAATAGTTATTGCTCCCCTTCCCAGGTGAAGTGTGTGTGTGTGTGAGAGGGGGTATGTTATTCAATTTCACGTTTTTATCATATACATTTAAAAGTTCTGACCATAGTCTTGTTTTCCCATTTGGAAAAACGGTCTGGACTCCCTTCTTGGTCGCTGTTCTCAGGCAAATTTCATCAGCAGCTGTATTTGGATACACCTTGGTTTCAGACGCACGTTGGCCTGTTAAAGCGCTCCTCTTTGAACTCATTACTTAGAAATAAACGATTTCATTCAGCAGCTATGAATAAATTTAAAAATAAGTTTAAAGAACTGCACACCAATTTGTAAGCTATTTGGAAGTCTGGGTGGTAATTTATCTTCAACACCATAATGTTAGGTATTAAGATAAATTCGGAGTTAAAACGTTCTGAAATTCACGTAAAGTCACTTTAACACGTCTGTATTGGTGGAAGCAGGTTAGGCTGAGTAAAAGCGACTTTCTGTTTCATTGCAGTAAGATGTAGAATACATTCGTATTGCAGAAGCTTCGTCAGCATTGACGTTTGATTTCACAAGGAGTTAAGTAGCTCGCTCGTTCCTAGTGTTCTGTGTCCTTAAGAAGAGTATTTCTGTTCTATACTCCGAGTTCGACAAAACCACAAGAAAGGATAACGTAAATTAAAACCACAAAAAAGCGATTCCGTTTATTTCATATGGGCTTTATAAAGGTGCGGTTTTGTTCTTCGATTCTTTTGTGAGTTGTGAAAAAACACAGCGCATAGGAGACTACACAGCGCATAATAGTCATATTCGCAATACTTCCCAAGTTGGAAGCGACATAAAAATGTCACCATACTCTAGCGGCTACAATATAGGAAACGAAGTGATTCTAAACTAAATTCAGCATCGGGTACCTTATACATGCATCGCTCCGTTCTTTCTGAAGAGCAGTAAGGACAGTTAGACACGGATTGCTATCTCCCGGTGGGATGACTGCGTTAACTGAAATTTCACAGTTTTACAGGGGATTTTCACCCTTAAACTGACTTAAATTCCCATCCCCTGTGTGATCGCAGCGTCTCCTAATTCTCGTTCCAGCT